AATATTAACTTTAAATGTGAATGGGATGAATGCCCCAATTAAAAGACATAGACTGGCAAATTAGATAAAGAGTCAAGACCCATTGGTGTGCTGTATTCAGGAGACCCATCTCATGCACAAAAATGTGAGGAAGATTTACCAAGCAAATGTAAAGCAAAAANAAAAAAAAAAAAAAAAAAAAAAAAAAAAAGCAGGGATTGCAATCCTAGTCTCTGCTAAAACAGACTTTAAACCAACAATGATCAAAAAAGACAAAGAAGAGCATTACATAATGAATGGTAAAGGGTTCAACACAGCAAGAAAAGCTAACTATCCTAAATACATATGTACCCAATACAGGAGCACCCAGATTCATAAAGCAAGTTCTTAGTTCTCTCTACAAAGAGACTTAGATTCCCACACAACAGTGGGAGACTTTAATACCCCACTGTCAATATTAGACAGATCAAAAAGATGGAAAATTAACAAGGATATTGAGGACTTGAACTCAGCTCTGGACTAAGCGGACCTAATAGACATCTAGAGAACTCTCAACCCCAAATCAACAGAATATATATTCTTCTCAGCACTACATCACACTTATTCTAAGAGACCACATAATTGGAAGTAAAACACTCCTCAGAAAATGCAAAAGAATGCAAATCATAACAGTCTCTCAGACCATAATGCAATCAAATTAGAACTGAGGAATAAGAAACTCACTCAAAACCACACAACTACATGGAAACTGAACAACCTGCTCCCAGATGACTACTGGGTAAATAACGAAATTAAGGCAGAAATAAATAAGGTCTTTGAAACCAATGATAACAAAGACACAACATGCCAGACTCTCTAGGACACAGCTAATGCAGTGTTTAGAGGGAAATGTATAGCACTAAAACGCCAACAGGAGAAAGCAGGAAAGATCTAAAATTGACACCCTAACATCACAATTAAAAGAACTAGAGAAGGAAGAGCAAACAAATTCAAAAGCTAGCAGAAGACAAGAAATATCTAAGATCAGAGCAGAACTGAAGGAGATAGAGACACAAAAAAAACCTTCAAAAAAAATCAATGAATCCAGGAGCTGGTTTTTTTAAAAGATTAACAAAATAGATAAACTGCTAGCCAGACTAATTAAGAAGAAAAGGAGAAGAATCAAATAGACACAATAAAAATGATAAGGGGAATATCACCACTGATCCCACAGAAATACAAACTACCATCAGAGAATACTATAAACACCTCTACACAAATAAACTAGAAAATCTAGAAGAAATAGATAAATTCCTAGACACATAGACCCTTCCAAGACTAAACTAGGAAGAAATTGAAACCCTGAATAGACCAATAATAAGTTCTAAAAATGAGGCAGTAATTAATAGCCTACTAACCAAAAAAAGTCCAGGACCAGATAGTTTCACAGCTGAATTCTACCAGAGGTATAAATAACAGCTGGTACCATTCCTTCTGAAACTATCCCAAACAATAGAAAAAGAAGGAATCCTCCCTAATTCATTTTATGAGGCCAGCATCATCCTGATACCAAAACTTGGCAGAGACACAACAAAAAAAGAAAATTTCAGGCCAATATCTCCGATGAACATTGATGTGAAACTCCTCAATAAAATACTGGCAAACCGAATCCAGCAGCACATTAAAAAGCTTATCCATCACAATAAAGTCAGCTTCATCACTGGGACAAAGCTGGTTCAACATACACAAATCAATAAACGTAATCCATCAAATAAACAGAACCAATGACAAAAACCATATGATTATCTCAATAGATGCAGAAAAGGCCTTCAATAAAATTCAATGCCCCTTCATGTTAAAAACTCTCAATAAACTAGGTATTGATGAAATGTGTCTCTAAATAATAAGAGCTATTTATGGCAAACCCATAGCCAATATCACACTGAATGGGCAAAAGCTGGAAGCATTCCTTTTGAAAACCAGCACAAGACACTCCTATTCAACATAGTATTGGAAGTTCTGGCCAGGGAAATCAGGCAAGAGAAAGAAATAAAGGGCACTTAAATAGGAAGACAGGAAGTTAAATTGTCTCTGTTTGCATTTGTCCTGATTGTATATTTAGAAAACCCCATTGTCTCAGCCCAAAATCTCCTTAAGCTGATAAGCAACTTCAGCAATGTCTCAGGATACCAAATCAATGTGCAAAAATCACAAGCAATCCTATATACCAAAAACAGAGAGCCAAATCATGAATGAACTCCCATTCACAATTGCTACAAAGAGAATAAAATACCTAGGAATACAACTTACAAGGGATGTAAAGGACCTCTTCAAGGAGAACTACAAATCACTGCTCAAGGAAATAAAAGAGGACACAAACAAATAGAAAAACATTCCATGCTCATGGATAGGAAGAATCGATATCATGAAAATGGTCATTATAGATTGAATGCTAACCCCATCAAGCTACCACTGACTTTCTTCACAGAATTGGAAAAACTACTTTAAATTTCACATGGAACCAAAAAAGAGCCCATATAGCCAAGACAATCCTAAGCAAAAAGAACAAAGCTAGTGGCACCATGCCAGCTGACTTCAAACTATACTACAAGGCTACAGTAACCAAAATAGCATGGTACTGGTACCAAAACAGAGATACAGATCAATGGAACAGAACAGAAGCCTCAGAAATAACACGACACATCTACAACCATCTATCCTTGATAAATCTGACAAAAGCAATGGGGAAATAATTCCCTATTTAATAAATGGTGTTGGGAAAACTGGCTAACAACAGGCAGAAAACTGAAACCGTACCCCTTCCTTATGTCTTATATAAAAATTAACCCAAGATGGATTAAAGACTTAAACATAAGACCTAAAACCATGCAAACACTAGAAGAAAACCTAGGCAATACCATACAGGACATAGGCATGGACAAAGACTTCATGACTAAAACACCAAACTCAATGGCAACAAAAGCCAAAATTGACAAATGGGATCTAAGTAAACTAAAGAGCTTCTGCACAGCAAAAGAAACTATCATCAGAGTGAACAGGCAACCTACGGAATGCAAGAAAATCTTTGCAATCTATTCATCTGACAAAGGGCTAATATCCAGAATCTACAAAGAACGTAAACAAAGTTACAAGATAATAACAAACCACCCCATCAAAAAGTGGGGGAATGATATGAACAGTCACTTCTCAAAAGAAGACATTTATGCGGCCCACAAACATATGAAAAAAAGTTCACCAACACTGGTCATTAGAGAAATGAAAATCAAAACCACAACAAAATACCATCTCATTCCAGTTAGAGTCATTACAAAGTCAGGAAACAACAGATGCTGGAGAGGATGTGGAGAAATAGCAATGCTTTTATACTATCGGTGGGAGTGTAAATTAGTTCAACCATTGTGGAAGACAGTGTGGCGATTCCTCAAGGATCTATAACCAGAAATACCATTTGACCCAGCAATCCCAATACTGGGTATATACCTAAAGGATTATAAATTATTCTACTATAAAGACACATGCACACATATGTTTACTGGAGCACTGTTCACAATAGCAAAGACTTAGAGCCAGCCCAAATGCCCATCAATGATAGATTGGATAAAGAAAATTTGGCACATTTACACCATGGGATACTATATAGCCATAAAAAAAGATTGGTTCATGTCCTTTGCAGGGACATGGATGAAGCTGGAAACCATCATTCTCAGCAAACTAACACAGGAACAGAAAATCAAACATTGCATGTTCTCACTCATAAGTGGGAGATGAACAATGAGAACACATGGACACAGGGAGGGGAACATCACACACTGCAGCCTGTCAGGGGGTTTGGGGGCTAGAGGAGGGATAGCATTAGAAGAAATACCTAACGTAGATGACAGGTTGATAGATGCTGCAAACCACCATGGCACGTGTATACCTATGTAACAAACCTGCACGTTCTGCACATGTATTCCAGAACTTAAAGCATAATTTAAAAAAAACTTTGTGTGTGCATGTATAGGGCTAAGCATAGAGAAAAGTATGAAAAAATGATAATAGTGACTATCTTAGGACAGTGGGATTTCAGGTGATTTTTATTTTCTTCCTGGAGGCTTCCTGCATTATGTTTTTATACTGGGTATGTTTTATTTCTTCAAAATTTTAAGAATTGTTTTTTTAATTGTGGGAAAACAATAAGAAAAAGACAATGAAAGGACTGGAGCAGAATGCAAAGAAAGGGGACTGGAAGGGACTAGGAGGTAAGTAGGAAGGCAAATGGGGGACCTAGAGGGACTTGACAGGAGGCCCTTAGGGATCTGGAGGGACTGAGAGGTGTCAAAAGACATGACGTAGAACTGTGGGGAATAGGAGTTACGGGGTAGCAGGGGGCTCAAGAAACCCTGAGGAGACTGGAAGGTACAGAGGAACTGAAGAAACTGTCCGGGAACAACAGCAGATAGGGAGACAAGTGAGGAGGAGATGGGAAAGACCAGTGAGGCTAAGTAGGACTGGAGGAAAAGGCAACCCCAGAGAAACAGGGAGACTACGCAGTTTGAGGGGGACTGGGAGGGACTGACTAGAAGCAGGGCCTGGGATTGGATTGGGAGGAATGAAGGACAGGGAAACCATGAGGAGTAGTAGAGATTCTGGAGAACAATGTGGGGCCCTTGGAAAGGATAGGACAAAAAGAAAACACAGGCTTTTGAGCTGACAGCCTAGACTCTCCAGCTCTATCAAGGCTTAACCCTCTTTGCCTGATTTTCCTCACCTGTAAAGATAAGCATGATGCCTGCCTCACAGTGTTAAGATGAGGATTGAATGCTACAATCTGTGTTCAAAACTTAGTCATCACTGGGCATTCAGAATGCGCTCAATAAATGCTAGGTTTTATTATTATGAACAGTTCCTTAACTCAAAGAGAAGAGGAAGGCACAATAATAGAACTTCATCTCCTGTTCATGTATTTCATTCTGTGCTTTTAATAAAGAATCATTTTTTCCTGAGAGTGAGATCGTGGGAGGGAGGTGAACAAATCCAACCTGCTTTGAAGATTCATCCAAAGCTGAACTTTCTTCACCACTCAGAATGAAAAATGAAAGGCTTTTATCCAATGAGACTTCAGTCTGTGGAGAAAAGGATAAACCAGTATTTAGTGTTGAAATAAATACTTTTTCTGCTTATAAGTAAATGAAATACTTTTCCGTAATATGGTAAACCTAACTGTTATCTCACTAGTGAACAGGGAGCAGCAAGGCAGAGCATGTCAAGGTATATTTAGATCTGAGTTTGTTTGGTTCATGAGTTTTTATTTTTGTTTTGGTAACTGCAAGAAAAGCCAGAATATAGGGGCAAAATCTTCTCCCTCTTCCCAAACTGTCTCCTCACTCTAGTCTGGGTGGTAAGAGTTTGACCAAAATGCTGGCTCTGGTGGAACTTTCTTTTCTCTCCTTGTTTTTGGTGCTGTCCTGTTCAGATACCCCCGCCCCCACCCACCCACACAAGTGCCACCTCAGCCCACAATCTTTCATGGAGTTAGAAGTAATTAAAAGTCTGAAAAGTGGTATATTCTTAGTTGTAAACTCGCTGATAAAGAAGCTCTCATTTTTCACTCCTGTAAAGTCTGAATCTTTGAATTAACAAATCATATCATTTCTTTCTCACACACATATATTAAAATGAACTGTTTTAAGGAAAGCTTGGGAAAGGAATTAATTCTATAATGAAAAGTAAAACATAGTTACTAGGAATCAATTTAAAATAAGTAAAAACGAAAATTAGAATTTTATGTAAGATATAATTTTGTAAAATATAAAATGAGATTTTATCTTATAAAAGCTTATCTTATATTGTTTGTATCTACAATGTAGCCATCAGATTAACTTAAAAGTTATTCACCTTGTAACAATGCTGCTTATATGAATTGTCAGTATATGCTTTTATCCCCTATCATCTCTGCACATCTCAAAATCACTTACTAAAATCTTCTGCTTTCTGAGCAGATATCCCTGTGTGGTAATTGGGATCGTGCTTCTTAGAAGGGCCAATTTCTCTTCCTTTCAACCCCTTTTCTTGGTACTCAGTGGATTGACCTTGACAAACTTTGTAACTCTTTATAGTTTTTACTATTCATAGTGAAATTAAATCCAATTTAGGCATGTTTTAATTCATGTGTTGAGTGAATAACATGCACATAAACATCACTTTTTAGTCTACTTTTACCTTTACATTTAATTAAAATAATTTTTATTAAGCACCTAAGAGAGGCACCGTGGAGGAGCCAAAGATAAATTAAAAAAAAAAAATCCTTGCATTTTAAAATTTGCAGAGTTAAATACTCTAGGTGCTTGTGGCAGAAACTACTAGTTGCCCATTACAGTCTTTTCTCCCATCTCTATTAGTAGAACCTAGACACTTCTTCCACGTTCATTTGGTGGAAATGGTATGTGCAGTTTGCAGATCTTGTCCCCTGAAAGATCAACCCAAAATCCTTTGGTTCTTTCTTCCCCGCTTCCCTTTTGCCAGCAAATGGAAAAACTAGAACTTTGCCATTGGACTCATGGATGGAAACCACATATTGGAGATACCAACACTCTCCTATCAGCCTGGATTACTTAATTGTTACATTAGAGAAAAAAAGGAAACTTCTATCTTAATGAAAACACTTTACTTTGAATCTTTTTGTTACAGCTACTTAGCTTGTACTCTAAATAATATAACTCTCTAAAAAGAGGAGTTGTTTTATCATTTTAAGTTCCAAATATTTAACTACATATTGAATTTTCAAATAGTGGTTACACATTAAAAATTTGTCAGTTGGATATCACCTATAACACTGTTAGAATAATTCATTGGGAGGCCATTAGACTGAAGCAGTTCTAGGGCCCTGAGTTCCTAAGTAAGCAAACCAAAACCCAACTCAGTGTGAATGGTCCTATCCAAAGAAAATCAAACTTTAGTTTTACCAATTGGAAACTGCCAACTAATCTCTAACTAGGAACATTAAGGCTACTGCTCCACTTTGTCAATCAAATGTTTTCTTTGCCTTGCTTCCGCATGCACCATTTAAAAGTTTTCCCCACGTGCCCCTTTGGTGGAGTCCTAGCCATCTGCAGATATTCCTCAATTCACAAATTGTGGTCTGTTCAAACAAACTCTTTAAAAGTTTAATGTTCCTAAATCTGACTTTTAACAATATTTTATTATAATTTTTTTAGGATTAAAAAGTAACGCCAAGTAAGAAGAGAGTGTGATTGCAAATGGGCAATCACTGATAAAGTAGAATCTTTTTTGAGTGATAAGAATTAAACTGTGGTAAATTAACTAAAAATCAATGAGTCATCCACTTCAAATAGGTGAAGTTTTGCGATGTAAACTATACTTCCGTAAAGCTGTTTTAAAAAGTAAAAAAAGAAAAAACTTATTTACCTTGGTTCTTTGATATATTTGGCTATCAGTGAGCTGCTCAGCTGAAGATTTTTCATCTTTGTTAATCTGAAACACAACATTAATACATCTTTACAGAAATAGACATAATTGTGCTCATAAGTCTTTTGTCCAAAATTTATAAATATCAAGACTTTGCGATGTTTTCCTTTTAAAAAGTATGGTATGTGTAGGTGCTCAATAAACATTAGTAGATGAGTGAATGCTCATTATTTTTTTAAAAAGTGTGGTATGTATATAAGAAATATCAGCACACATACTGAAATGTCATTTATAATTAGTATGGCCAAATCACCTAACTCTTCCTGGCTTTAGGTTTGACATTATAAGGATGTTATGAGATAAAGGGAAAAAATATATATATAGGAAGCTTTTAGGAATTAAGGAGCTGTATTAACATTTATTTTCAGCTATCTTTTGACAAAGAAAACTTTATTGTGCTATATGTCTCATTTAAATAGCAACTTTGAAAACAAGAAATTTTAAAAAGCATTACCTTAGAATTTTTTCGCTTTTCTCTCACTTTGCCTCTCAATGTCTTTACTACATTTTGATTTTCTTCTGCATCTAAATCTATCAGGAAACCAACATAATAAAGAGTTTATGACACTTTATTATAATTAAACAACAATTGCAGCAAAAATATTTATTAAATACTTTAATTGCATGCATTTCTAAGCCTCATGACAATTATGAAAACTAGGTTATTGTCCTATGAGAGCTATAAGATCAATAGATGTCCTTTCTCCTTCTCCATCTGGAACAAATACTTTCACCCATTCAGATCTGGTTTTTTTCTTTGTGACAACTTTTCTATTCTCTGTCACCTTCTTTTTACAATTTTTTTTTTCTTTGAGATGGAGTTTTGCTCATTGCCCAGGCTGGGGTGCAGTGGTACAATCTCAGCTCACTGCAACCTCCCCTTCCCGGGTTCAAGCAATTCACCTGCCTTAGCCTCCTGAGTAGCTGGGACTTGGAACCAACCCAAAAGTCCATCAGAGATAGACTAGATAAAGAAAATGTGGCACATATGCACCATAGAATACTATGCAGCCGTAAAAAAGGATGAGTTCATGTCCTTTGCAAGTACATGGATGAAACTGGAAACCATCATTCTCAGCAAACTAACACAGGAACAGAAAACCAAACTCCACATATTCTCACTCATAAGTGGGAGTTGAACAATGAGAACACATGGACTCAGGAAGGGGAACATAACACACTGGGGCCTTTGGGGGGTAGGGGGCGAGGGGAGGGATAGCATTAGGAGAACTACCTAATGTAGATGACAGGGTGATGGATGCAGTAAACTACCATGGCATGTGTATAACTATATAACAAACCTGCATGTTCTGCATATGTACCCCAAAAGCTAAAGTATAAAAAGAAAAACTCTCAAGCCCTTGTGCGTACCCCAAGCCATGTATTATTTTCTGCTCATCCACTGGATGGACTGAAAAAAAGATCACGCAAGATCATGCAGTCCTAGGTACAGTAAAAAATTGAGGACCTATAGATCTCTTTGCCTTGCCTTTTGCTTTTTCTATTCCCTGCCTTTGAGTGGTTAAAGGTTAAATAGAAGATTGTAGAAATAAAGGGTAAGCATAAAGCTAAATAACTGACTGTAGGTCATGTTTAACCACAGTATTCCTTGGTAAAATTTAAAAATTACTAGTTGGTTTTGTTTATACTATATTCCCATAATTTAGAATGGCACATGGCATATAATACATGCTCAATAAATACTTGCTTGGTGAATGAACCAGGGCTCAACCATTATTTATGTATTTTTCTTCCTGAGAGTTGAAGTTTGCTGAAGCAGGTTCTATACCTATGTATGTTTGTGTTCTAAAACAGTCTCACCGCCAGTGGATTCTCCATGTTTGTAATGACAAAAAGAAAATGGAATTCAGTTATTTATTATATCCATTGACTTTTCTATGTATTTTCTTATGCCCATCTTGTTTTATTTAGGAAGTTTAATTTCTCTTTAAATTGATTCCTTAGGAAATCTGTGTTCCCAGCTGAAACTCTGGAACAGGATTAATCATTTACATCTGTTAAAAACAAAAATGAAGAATATCAGAGTTATGGTATACTTATTGAGAACCTTTTTGAAGATGCTTGTCTCTAATTTCTTCAGCTGTAACGTTATCCATCTCTCTGACAACTGCAAAAAAAGCAAGGAGGGTTAAACTTGCATCTTGTTTTGCCATTGAACATCTTTTCAAATATTCATCAGCCCTTTGAACATCATCTCCTTTAAAATACAAGTTCATATATTTTGCTTGTTTTCTTGAACTTCATCTTTTTATCTATTTGCATGAGCTCTTCAAATATGGTGAAATTACTCCCTCTTACAAGGTAAAGCAAGATGGCTGATGGCTGAACAGAATCCTCCAGCAATCATCTGCCCTGCAGGAACAACAAATTGAACAACTATCCATATAAGAAGCACCTTTATAAGAACCAAAAAATCAGGTGAGCAATCATAGTGCCGGATGTTAACATCATATCAAGGAAGGAGCCACTGAAGAGAGTAGGAAAGAAAATCTTGAATTGCCTACACCACCTCTCTCTCATCCCCAGGCAGTGTGGCAGGAAGAGGGAATTTGTGCATTTGGGGGAGGAAGGTCAAAGTGATTCGGGGACTTTGCACTGGAACTCTCTGCTCTCCTAACCTAGCTGAAAGCAACACAGGGCAGAATTTGGCCAGCATCCACAGAGGGAGCATTTAGACAAGCCCTAGCCAGAGGGGAATTGTCCATCCCAGCAGTCAGAACCTGACTTCCAGCTAGCCCTACCACCCTTGGCTAAAGCACTCTAGGGTCCTAATAAACTTGAAAGGCAGTCTAGCCCACAAGGACCACAATTCCTGGGCAAGTCCTTGTACTGTGCTGGGCTCAGAGCCAGTGGGCTCAGGGTACACACGATCCAGTGAGACAGCAGCTGGGGTGGCCAAGAGAGTGCTTGCATCACCCATCCCCCAACTTCAGGCAGTACAGCTCACAGCTCTAGGAAAAGAGAGAAGAGCAAAGAGTACTTTGTGTTGCAACTTGGATACCAGCTCAGCCCCCGTAAAATAAAGCACCAAGCAGAGTCCTCAAGCCCCCACTCCTGGCACTATCTCCCAGATAACATTTTCAGACCAACACGGGCCCAGAAGAGAACCCACTGTCCTGAAGGAAAGGTTGCAATCCTGGCAGCATCCACCATCTGCTGACTAAAGAGCCCTTGGGCCTTGGGTAAAGGTGGTAGCCAGTCAGTAGTGATTAGACCATGGGGGTGGATCCCCAAGCTGTTCTCCTGACAGTGAGTGAGTTATCATGAGATCTGATGGTTTTACAAGCCTCTGGTATTTCCCTTGCTTTCATTTCTCTCTCCTGCCACCATGTGAAGAAGGTCCTTGCTTCCCCTTTGCCTTCCACCATGAGTCTAAGTTTCCCGAGGCCTTCCCAGCCATGTGGAATTGTGAGTCAATTAAACCTCTTTCCTTTATAAATTACTTTTTAAAGGGTAGTATCTTTATAACAATGTGAGAATGGACTAATACACTTGGGTATCCAACTCAGCCACAGTCAATTAAAGTGCAACTAGCAGACTTCTAGGTCCCTGATTCCACTTAGCTATTAGAAGGCATTTCTAGATCCATCACAGGCCAGAAGGAAACCTGCAGCTCTGAAGGGAGTGAACCAGGCTTGCTAGGACTCACCAGCTGCTGACTAAAAACCCCTTGGGCCTTGAATAAACATCAGTGGTAGCCACAGTACGGTCACCACTGGCCTGGGACAGTGGTGGCCATGAGCAGATAGCCCTTCTGCTTAAGAAAAGAGAAAAGCAGAGAGGATTTAAGTCTTGCAACCTCGGTACCAGTTCAGCCCCAGTAAAATAAAGCACCAGACAAATTCCTAAAACCCCTGACCACAGGCCCTCATCTTTTAATGGCAGCTCTAAGCCCACCCTGGGCCAGAAGGGAACGTGCCTCACTGGAAGGGGAAGACCTAGTCCTGGCAGGATTCAGGGGGTGTCGGGGGAGGGAAGGAAAGGGAAGAGATGGGAAGGGAAGGGGAGGGGAGGAAGGGAAGGGAAGGAGAAGGGGAAGGAGAAGGGATGGTAATTTTGAATTTATTATCCATTCTGCAAGAACTTCTAAAATACACTTAAAATCAATAGCTGGCTTATTGATGCCGACACTTGTAAATGTTGTCTGCTCAACTAGAAAAAGCATTAGCAGTAGCACATATCCTATAGACAGTAAAATTATAACAAACTATCAAATGAAATGTTATCGTAGAAATTATTAATCATATTTTTTGCAGACTTGGAAGTGTTCCTAACCTGTCCACCTATCATTCTACGTAATAGATAAGATAGTCATTTAAAAATTTGGATAAAATTACAGATCTAAGTGAAAATTACACTTGCTCTGTTGAAATCTCATGCATAAGGAAAAATCACAGTGCAGTGCAGACTTCTGCTTTCTTACAGCAGTTCCATTTTCTGTTAGAAAATTGGCTCTAACAGTTAAACCCTATTTTATCTTTGAGGTTACTACAATTTATGATTCTTGCAATTAGAGCTTTTTCTAAAAGGCAAGGAATTTGAGGATTAGCTATTTTTGTATCAGATGACCTGAAGTTTCTCTATCACTATGATGATTTCTGAAATGAAATTTCATAGGGCTTATGTTGTAAGTTTAAGATTCAAAAAGAAATGTATCACTTGAATCTTTGAAAGGCTAAAAAATAAAATTAAATAAAATAAAGGTGGGGGGCATTGTTCAGGATATCTCTTCCGAGCTAGGCTTGGTATATGAAAGTATGCAAAATTCCAATTTGTAGCTTTGCAAGCATTTACCTTTCTATTAATGATGTGCCCACAGGGTAACAGATGTAATAAAACATAAAAACTTCTGGCCAGGCACGGTGGCTCATGCCCTGTAATCCCAGCACTTTGGGAGGCCACAGTGGGAGGATCACCTGGGGTCAGGAGTTCAAGACCAGCCTGGCAATCATGGTGAAACCCCATCTCCACAAAAATGCCAAAATTAGTTGGGCATGATGGCAGGCGTATGTAATCTGAGCTACTCAGGAGGCTGAGGTGCAAGAATCACTTGAATTGGGAGGCAAAGGTTGCAGTGAGCTGAGATCATGCCATTGCACTCCAGCCTGAGTGACAGAGTAAGACTCCATCTCAAAAAAAAATAAATAAATAAAAATAAAAACTTCTTTAGTATTAGTACAATAGATTTTACCACAGTTTGTTAATTTATGTTTGTAATTAATGAAATTAAAGTCAAAGATGAAACCAAACATTTTTTTTTTCTATGATTGTAAGGCCAGAATTCCTAACCTCTCATATTCTCATTCACAGAGTCTTTGGGATGGAAGCCAACTTTTGTAATTTCACAATGAAAACCAATAAAACGACAATTTAAAAATAATAATAAAAGAACAACTTGTCGATGGTAACACAACAAAATTAGAGGCAATTAACTGATTTCAAATTACTATATTTCTAAATTATAGAAAACATTAAATTTAATTAAAATAGTTTTGATCAGTGGAGGCTGAAAAGATGAAAAGGGATTTACGTCTCTTTCCACATTCTTTTTTTGGCTCCACAAACACTTTGCAGCAGAGTTTGTATGGTTTGAATGTTTTTTTCCTCTCCAACTTTCATGTTGAAATATATTCCCAATGTTGGAGATGGGGCCTGGTGGGAAGTGATTGGATTGTGGGGGCGGATTCCTCATAGGTGGCTTAGCACCATCCCCTTGGTGATGAGTGAGTTCTTGCTCAGTTCACATGGGATCTAATTGCTTAAAAGAGTCTGACGCCTTGCTTTTCTCTCTCTTGCTCCCTCTTTCACCATATGGCATGCCAGCTTTCCTTCCCTTCTACCACAATTGTAAGCTTCCTGAGGCCGTCACCAGAAGCAGATGCTGGAGCCATACTTGTGCAGCCAGCAGAACTGTGAGCCAATTAAACTTCTTTTCTTTATAAACTACCCAGTCTCAGGAATTCCTTTATAATGACGCAAAAACGACCTAACACAGAAAGTTGGTGTCAAGATGTGAAGCATTCTGTACAGATACCTGAAGACGTGGAAGTGGCTTTGGAACTTGGTAATGGTTGTAAGAGTGTGGAGGGCTCAGAAGAAGTTCGGAAAATGAGGGAACGTTTAAAACTTCTTAGAGACTGGCTAAATGGTTGTGACCAAAACGCTGATAGAGATATAGATAGTGAAGGCCAGGCTGATGTGGTCTCAAACAGAAATGAGAAAGTTATTGGGAACTGGAGTAAAGTTCATTCCTGTTATGCCGTAGCAAAGAACTTAGCTGCACTTAGCAAAGAGCTTAGCTGCCCTAGCAAAGAACTTAGGAATCTGTGGAAGTTTGGACTTAAGAGTGAAGACTTAAGGTATCTGGCAGAAAAAATTTCTAAGCATCAAAGCATTCAAGAAGTGACATGACTGCTTCTAACATGCTATTATCAGATGTGAGTGTAAAGGAATGATTTAAAGTTGGAACTTATATTTAAAAGGAAAGCAGAGCATAGCAGTTTGAAACATTTGCAGCCTGGCCCTGTAGTATAGAAAGAATTTAAGCAGGCTGTGGAGCAATGACTTGCTAGAGAGATTAACATGACTAAAAGAGAGCCAAGTGCTATTATCCAAGACAATGGCAAAAAGGCCTCAAAGGCATTTCAGAAGTCTTTCAGATTGTCACTCCAATTACAGGCCCACAGGCCTAGGAGGAATGAATGATTTCAGGGAGCAAGCCCAGGGTCTCACCACCCTGTTCAGCCATAAGACGCTGCACCTTGTATCTCAGCTACTCTGGCTCCAGCCTTTTTTCAAAGAAGCCCAGGTACAGCTCAGGCTACAGCTCCAGAGGGTGCAAGTTGTCAGTCTTGGTGTTTTCCACAGGGTGTTACGTCTGCAGATGCTCAGAATGCAAGTGTGAAGGATTGGCAGCTCCCACCTGGATATCAGAGGATATATGAAGCCTGGGTGCCCAGGCAGAAGACTGCTACAGGGGTGGAGCTGTCACAGAGAAACTCTACTATGGTAACTGAGGGGCAGTGTGGGGTTAGAGACCCCACACAGAGTCCCCACTGGGGCACTCTCTAGTGAAGCTGTGGGAAGTAGATCATCACTCTTCAGATTCCAGAATGGTAGATTCACCTGCAGCTTGCACCCTCTGCCTGGAAAAGCTGCAAGCACTCAACTTTAACCCATGACAGCAGCCATGTGGGCTGCACCCTGCAAAGCCACAGAGGCAGAGCTGCCCAAGACCTTGGGAGCCCACCCCTTGCACCAGTGTGCCCTGGATGCAGGATATAGAGTCAAGGATTATATTGGAGCTTTAAGAATTAATGCCTAGCCTGCTGGGTTTCAAACTTGCATAGGGCCTATTACTCCTTTCTTTTGGCCAATTTCTCCCTTTTGGAATGAGAATGTTTACCCAATGCCTGCACTGCCATTGTATCTTGGAAGTAAATAACTTGTTTTTTTATTTAACAGGCTCATAGGTGGAAGGAACTTAGCCTTGAATTTCAGATGAAACTTTGGACTTTGGGATTTTTGAGTTGAGGCTGGAATGAATTAAGACTTTGAGGGACTATTGTAAAACCATAATTATATTTTGAAATTGTGAGAAGGATGTGAGATTTGGGAGGCTAGGGATGGAATGATATGATTTGGATATTTGTCTCCTACAAATCTCATGTTAAAATGTGATTCTCAGTAATGGAGATAGGGCCTGGTGGGAAGTGATTGGATTGTGGGAGTG